AAATTTTACGTCACACAATATATTGCATGATAAATTAATCTTTCTTTCTTTTCCGATGAAACGAACTTGAGCTATTAAAGAAAAAAAAAAAAAAAAAAAAAAAAAACTTTCGAACCGTACAACATGCATGTACATGTACGTTTACAGGAGGAAATTTGTAACTTTAACAATTAGAATCATATCATGAATATGTTGTTCTACGCGGTAGACTCAGCCAGTCGACACGAAGATGGTCGCGTAAAAGGGTTCGCAGGCGGATTCACAATCGCAAGTGCTAAATTAGAAAAAGTTGCGCACGGTTAGAGAGCGATATGTCACTACGTTGACAATATTAATGCTTACGTAACGGCGTTATAATCGATACTGCGCGTATGTCGGGCGCTCGATAATGAGCAAAGAATAGCGATGCTTGAGCAATATAAATAGTCGACCCAAAAATTATACGGCGAGAAATAGAAAGATTGAGAATTATCGCGTTTCTTCTTTTCATCGTAACACTGTGTATGTGTGCATGTGTGCTCTCGATTATCGATCGATTCGCGAGTCGTAACAGCCGGCCGCAGGCTTAGACATTCAAATCCAAATCCATGTAATTTTTGTGCATTTCGTTTTAGCATTTTTGTTCGCACGATTGAATCTACACGTTATATCTTATTTGGTTCGAAACAATTTTTAATCGTTTCGTTAAACTGTGGTTTATCAATAAAATGCGAAATTTGTAAAGATCATCGTAGATGATTAAATCGTAATGATTGCACAAACGTTTGGACTATCACTAAGGCTATCACAAATAATCATAACACGCGTAAGTATCGAATCGTTTCGCGAATGATTGCGCGCGCGCGCAAGAGAGAGAGAATCTATTAAAATAAACGTAGGAAGACGTAATGAAAGTTTCTTCAATTCTGTATTCACGACGATCGCAGATCCCGTCGAATCGATCGATACGTTCCTTCGTTCTCGTTCGATACATCCTACACGTTTCAAAACCGAACGGCAGTGAAAGAACAAACGGTAGTTATTCCTATATATTTAACTCGAGCAGATTCTCGTTGTGACGCACGTGGCCGCGGATCGATCCGCGAATCGTTGATCACCTCGAGGTTTCTTCGAAACGATACACAAGTACCCACGACTTTCTGTTCTTTTCGTCAAACCAAAGGGAGAATGAAGCGTAGCGTCTCGTTTACATCCCACATCGCTAGTCGCTTCGACACGACCAGACTTTCTTTCGATGAACCATCGTGTTCCGAGGTTCACGATTGCACATTTCTCGTCATTCAATTTTATCTAGAACACTTTCGACCAGCCAACCCTCGGCGAACACGGATATCCGCACGGATGTCGGGCCAACGTTTCTTCGAGTAGGCCTCTCTTTCCATTCGTTCGTTCTCTTTCGTTTCTCTTCTTCTTCTTCTTCTTCTTTTCCTCATTGCTTTAGCTCTTTTTTTTTTTTTTTTTTTTTTTGATTATACAATGGTAGCTGCGCGGACATACGTGTCGTTTCAGTGGTCCACCAGAAGCTGTTCGCGGTCAGGGAAGCTCGCGAAAGCTCAGTTGTACGGCCAGGAGTGCCTGATTGAAGTGACCACGTTCGAGGTAGGCGGGTCCTCTGGGCGTCACTTCTTCATGTCGTTCATCAACGTGCCGTCCTTGCTTTTGTTCGTGTCGAGGCTCGACTGCTGACTACTTGTCACACCGCTCCCGTTGCCTGGGTACATCTTCTCAAGATGATTCAGGGACTCGCTTAGGAACTTCTGCAATCGAGAGTTTCAGTTATCTGAATGAATGTATCAACACTCGAGATGACTAGTCTAGCTTTAGGTATCTTTGTCTCTATCTTGCTTATCTATGTATGTCTTTGGTAAGTTTATTTATATTTGGCTTGACAGGAATTCTAGCAATGATACTTCAGTGTTAAAATTAGCAAAGAACGGAATATATTTGAAATTGCAAAAATACGCAGAATAATATATGGCCAAAGTATGGTACTCTTTAGGTTTTGTTTCACAATCGAGTTTATAATCGAGCCGTTCAAAAGCCGCATTGATCGGCTCTATCAGTTGGAGAAAGTTTGAAATTATTGTTAAATTCATAAATTGATCTTGGAATTTATTATTCTTCACGCCATCTTCTTACAACGAACGAATGTTATTCATCTT